AAGTGATCTTAAAACTTCTGTTTGTCTTTTTTGTGTTAATGGCAGAACTGAAATACATGGGTTGACTGGAGATATTAAACATAGGTGATCTTAAAACTTCTGTTTGTGTTCAATATTTTGGTTTGATTAGATGTATTACTATGTTTAAGATGTCATAATAATATTTGGTTTGTACTTGTATTTACTTTCTTGTTTCAATGTTTTTCAAAGTGAGTAAAGTTTTATTTTTGTGCTCAGCTTACAATGGAATCTTGCACTTTCACTTTATATTATTTTTGTTTTATAAAGTCTGAAGAAAAACATTCTACCATGTGATTCCTGTTACAAACTACCCGGACATAACATATAAATTTTCAGTAACATTTATTTAATAGTTTTACAGTCTGCATGTCTATAACACTTGCTGTGAGATTTCAAAGTGTTGAATGAAACTATAATTCCATAGAAAGTTAAATATTAACTTAGAGGAATGACTGTGGACTATTGTTGATGTGTATGAAAATAATTTAACTTAGAGTAAATAAAAAAGTATTTTAAAAATTAGTAACAATCTTTAACATGTAGTTATTTGTATCAATATGTAACAAAACCAGTTATTAAATGAATAAATAAACATTCGGTATTTAACTTTTGTCTTTGGTTTTTATTAATCTTCTTCCACACAATAAGATGTGAGCTTCAACTTAGCACAAATTTTCATCACCTTTCCTCCTTCTATAGGCCATTCCCTTAACCTATGACCAACCAACAATGCCACAAAATGGGTGAGTTTGTTGAAGTACTAAATTTTGTATTTCGTGTTAAGATCGTTAATAAATCTTTATCCTAGTTATGTAAGAATAAAGCATATAATTTTATTCTAAGCCTAAAGTATGAGATGGCTTACCATGCCTTCCATCCCATTGCATAAAGCTTTCACGGAGCTAACCTTCGTAAGCATAAACTTTTTCTGTACGACTTTTCAGGTTAAATATTTTTATCTATAATGTTCGTACATGAACAACATTTAGAATGTATATATAAATTAAAACCCATGTTTAGAAAGCATGGCAAGTAAATGTCTTTAAAAATTAAACAAAGCAATTGATTTTTCTGTTAGTCCTATCTACTAAGGCTAACAATAAGAACTTTCTATAGAAGTATGCTTATTTAGTTTTTATTTTGTGCGATAATTTATTTTTACAATATATATATATATATGTGTAATTCTTTGCCTTGGATTTAAACTTGAGACCTATCAAACAGTAGGCTAATGCATCTTCAAGAACCCAGAAAAGCTGAAACAGAAGGGCAGAAAGAGTGGACGAGATGGCAAAATGATAGCTAACAGTAACGATTGTGTTTATATGGTAAAGTTAAAATCTAAATACAGAGAAAAGAAAAAAATGTGGTTGACAATAAACGTTTTAACATATTAAGTGTTTTTGTTATAACAATTAGTATCTGTAATATAGTATATATTGCTTAAAACCAGAATTTCTAAAATTTATAGTTTTGGGATTCTCAGTTTTTATTTTTGGATATCACCAACCATATATAGGAAAACTTTACTATACATAAAGTACAGAAAGATGATTCCGTTTATATTTTTTCTGTTCTCTATAAGTGGCTATAAAGGCACTTGGCCACTTTGTAGTGCCATAACTGGGAAACGGTACAGAGTATAAAGATCAAATTCTGGGAGTGTGATTTTCAAACCACGGGAGACCAAGTTCAGTAAACAAAAAGAAAATAAATGTTACCCCCAAGAGTGTATTTCTACATTATATGTTCAGTGTGTGTCTTCCATCGTTCTTTAGGGAACTGGGCAAGGCCTAGTGATTGGTCTGTGGATCTGCAGATTCATGGTTCACATGTAATTATATGGGAGAGGGAGATAAAAATAAATACACAAATCCAAAAAATATTATGCTCCATACCTCAAAGGGATGTGTTGTAGGAATGATAGTCAAATCCCACTTTTCAATTACAGTAGCCCAAGAGTTAACAGTGGGTACTACTTGCTGCCTTTTTTTCTAGTCAATCAGTTCAAACTTAGGGACTGCTAATGCAGATGGCCTTATGTATCTTTGCACAAGTACCAGAAACAAACAAATCAATGTCCACCACAGCATCTAGTCGGTGAATATTGTTCTGAGGAATGCAAATAACTTCACATTGGATTACATCCTTCAGCGTGGGTAGCGACTGAATATCATCCTAGTAAACAAGCCTTGAGATGACTCGGTAACCAGTAATCTACCCATCTGAGGTCCACCTTTTGTGGTGTCATACTGACAGCTCTTATAACCAGTATCCAAATGACTTCACCCTAATTCAGTATTTATTTTAATTTTATTAATTACTAGCTGGAGTACCCGTCGCCTGGATGGAAGTTATGTAAATTGATGATTAATGAAAGGTTATCTTAGGACATAAAAAGTTGCTTCCCTTATATGTTGTTGTAAAAAAATGCTCGTGAAAACTGGAAAACAAAAAATGTGAAACCGCAAGTTTGTATGTATCTCCGCATGGACCCAACAAACCTTCATGCCAATTTTGGTGAAGATCCATCCACACTGCAATGTAGTTACATGGACATATAACAGACAGTACTATTATATTTATATAGGTGCAAATTATGTCTAAAATTTTACCCCTAGTGGGAACTTTTTAAATGTCTTTTTTATTGGCTTTCCTTGTCTCCTTTTTGCTGATAATCATGTTCCCCAATTTTCAATGTTGTAATGTTTTACAGCTATGAGATTGATACGTGTCAAAAGGACTCTATATGTTAAAATACAAAATTTAATAGGTTCAAAACTTGTAAAGCTTATCCTTTTACAAAATCAAACTTGTAATCTCTTTAAACAGAAATCTTTGTTAATTTTCGATATTTTTATATAATTTATTATTTTCAGCAAAGAAACCTATATTTATTTATAACTTGCATCTTCACTTCTTGAATAAAGAAGCACATTATGCTGATATAATAATATGTTGGCATTCTACGATTTACAGCATCCTCACTTTTACTTAAATCAACAAAATCCTTTTGATTTTCATTTACAGAGTAACAGTTCAATTATCGAATCCCATGGGCAATTACTTGAGAGCTTATTCAACACATGTTTCCAATTACCCATTCCAAACTGGGGCCACGTGGATGGACCCTCAGCAGTACTTAGTTCAATCTCCCATTGGCTATTCACAGGTCAAAGGTTTTTCTAATGAATTGAATTTTATTGAAGTTTCAAGCATAAAACATGAAGTTCACTTAAAAAAAAAACTGTACTAAAAATTAATTTTAGTTTAGATTGTTCATTCTTTTTAGTGTGGTATTTGGTCGTGGGAATAATACACACATTGTTGACGAACAGAATATTTTATGCTTCAGGTTATTACTTAGGCCTTGCTATATTTATTCGAATTTATTCTTTAGTAGACATTTTTGTAATCATTAGAAAAAAAGAAGCAAAACGTTTACTTTGTAAAATGTTTTACAGTTTTTTTTTAATGTTTATTAAAATGTTGGCCCTACGACAATACTTGTTGAAAACTGTGCATCGTAGTTCGGTACATTTATTCATAAAGATAGTTTACATTATCCATACCATTAAGATTTTTTTTTTTCTAAAACTTGTCCTTACATATTTAAAAAACCTAATTTACTGAATAAACTGTCCTGAATATACCTGTTGAAAATATTAACCATCATCACTAAGTTACATTATGAATTGTCTTGAATATACCTGTTGGATATAGTTTATATGGTAACTTAGTGATTATGGTTAATTGTCTTGAATATACCTGTTGAAAATATTAACCATAATCACTAAGTTACCATATAAACTGTCTTGAATATACCTGTTGAAAATATTAACCATAATCACTAAGTTACCATATAAACTGCCCTGAATATACCTGTTGAAAATATTAACCATAAACACTAAGTTATATTATAAACTGTCCTGAATATACCTGATGGAAATATTAACTATAATCACTAAGTTATATTATAAACTGTCCTGAATATACCTGTTGAAAATATTAACTATAATCACTAAGTTACATTATAAACTGTCCTGAATATACCTGTTGGAAATATTAACCATAATCACTAAGTTACATTATAAACTGTCCTGAATATACCTGTTGAAAATATTAACTATAATCACTAAGTTACATTATAAACTGTCCTGAATATACCTGTTGAAAATATTAACTATAATCACTAAGTTACATTATAAACTGTCCTGAATATACCTGTTGAAAATATTAACTATAATCACTAAGTTACATTATAAACTGTCCTG